TATATAGAGAGAGAGAGAGAGAGAGAGAGAGAGAGAGAGAGAGAGAGAGAGAGAGAGAGAGAGAGAGAGACGCCCGTGACCTCGCACTTATCTTGTTACGCTATGCAAAGTACCTATTTGTGATGAAGTGTTCCACTAACACAAACATAGACATTTTTTTCATTTTGCTGAGGTGGGTATTCTGCCCGTTTTAGCCAAGCTTCTAAAGTTCAAGGTACCAGATCAGCACACAGATCGTTTTAGTCACGTAGTACAGTCAGATCATACCGACAGTTTGAATGAATGTCACAAAAAGTGATCTCTTTTCAAAAACATTTTCTCAATTTTTCCTAATAGCTCATAATAATTGACATAAAGAAAAAAAATGCAATCAATATTAAATTTCCAATTCATTAACTATCGCTGTCATTTTTCAAGACTCTACACCACAATAACAAGAAATAACTACACTTAACTATAAATATGACTAATTTTAATTATTATTCTTATTCTGAGTAGCTCAATAAATATGCATTACATAATTTACACAATAGATTATTTGCAAATGCCATTCCATATTTTTGTCATTTTTAGTAATATTATGGACTTCGTGAAAAGTTGCTTGAAGTGAAAGTGGATCACACTGTGCAGTGTGATGATTGGGTTGTGAGGCAAACCTTGTCCGATTCAGTTATAACAACTAATAAATCACACGTTGTCACAGTCAGACAATATAATACAAACAACCTTGCAATAAAGGCCACAGACTTGTTCAAGGTGAATCAAGCAAACACAAATGCACACCTCCTTGTTTCCTGCAATGACCTTCCGTTTTCATCATCCCCTGTGTTGTTGTTGCTCTGTGACTTTGCCACTTTGCTCCACTCCCACTGCCTACAACCCATGCCCCTTCACTTCACCCACCCCCTCACGGGTGTGCAGCTGTTGCATGAACTCATCTAGGATCTGCTGGGCAGACATGGCGGTCACATCCGCAGCATCCTGCTCCAAAAGCGTCACCAATACCTCTCCCTTTTCACCCAAGCGGTCAGCACGGTGGAGTTGCAGAGATTTAAGAGGGCACTCAGTGTATTTTTCACCCAGGGAAGGCTGCTGAAGATTAGTTTGTGGTTTAGCAGTGTAATTGGCTATTATTTTCTTATAGATTGCAGTGCTGATGTCCTCCACTGAAAAAGGAGGGCTGTTGCTGGACTTGAGTGGGCCTTGGAGGGAGATTTGACCTCCTGTTTTGGGCACTTCATGTTGGAAGGGAACAAAGGCTGTAGCAGTCTCCATTTCTGTCCACCAGTCGTGTGCCGTTTCTTCCGATTTAGGAGGCTGAGGTGGCTTGAGGGCAGATGGAGAGATGGCAGAGTGGCTGCCAATAGCAGCAGGTAATTGAACCTTCTGCACAGCCTCAGCTGAGTTGAAGTGCTTCTCCAGTAAATCCTTTATCAGGCATGGCAGCTGAGAGTGAGACATGCAGTGAAGATGGTTTCAAACCACACATTCAAAGATGAGGAAATGTCATTTCATGCATTTTTTTCCAGGAGTCCAGTAGTTTCAGTGACTTGTACTTAATGTAAAATATGTCCTGACATGTCACATTAATTTAAAGCCCCTCTTCTTAAATAAAATATTTTTTTAAGAAACGCCAGTCTATAATCCTTTTTTAATGTAAAATATATGTAAGCAGTGTCAATGTGAATAATCAGGAGCAAAATGCACAATCCTGCGGGCATATTCTATTGTGGCTCACTTTGGTTTACTTTCAGCTAAGCAAAAAGCAGTTATTTGTGAAGTGTTGTCACTTGGAATAGGGACTGTAACTATTTTGTCGACCGGGACGCAGAATTATCTATTCAGCTTGATTAATACGATGATTATGACAATTAGATCACAATATTTTGTTGCCACAAGGTTAATATTAAGGAAACTTACATCTACTGTTAAGTATCAATTCAACAATATGTTTAATATTCATTCATTCATTCATTTTCCGAACCGCTTGATCCTCACTAGGGTCGCAGAGGGCGCTGGAGCCTATCCCAGCCGTCTTCGGGCAGTAGGCGGGGGACACCCTGAATCGGTTGCCAGCCAATCGCAGGGCACACAGAGACGAACAACCATCCACGCTCACATGCACACCTAGGGACAATTAGAGTGTTCAATCAGCCTACCACGCATGTTTTTGGAATGTGGGAGGAAACCGGAGTACCCGGAGAAAACCCACGCAGGCCCGGGGAGAACATGCAAACTCCACACAGGGAGGCCGGAGCTGGAATTGAACCCGGTACCTCTGCACTGTGAAGTCGACGTGCTAACCACTGGACCACCGGGCCGCCCATGTTTAATATTGTGTTCTAATTTTCAGTAGGGTAGAAATGCACTTCACCACACTGTGAAGTGATTCCTCCACTGTATTTTGGTGACTGCAGTGATTCTCATCTTGTGGGTCAGGCCCCAAAATTGGGTTGTAGACCCATTAAATGTGGGTTGCAGACAGCTGGTAAAAAACAAACAAACAAAAAAAAACATGGATTTGTATTCAGAATTATTCAGAACAGTACTGTGGCGCACCAAGTTCCCACATACAACATACAATACCGAGTAAGCGTGAGGAAATGTTCCTCACTCGTGCTCTAGTCTCTGTATACAAATAGTGTGCAACTAACAAAAAATTGCTTTATTATTCTCAATTTCTTTCAGATGGGTTCGACTTTTGGAATAATATAGCATTATTATTATTATAATAATATAATATAATTAATATAGCATTATTATTCAGAACCCTTGTGACGGATTCGTGCATGCATCTTCCCTTAATGTCCACTAAAGGGCAGCATGCTCACATTGATGTTCTCCAGCGCAGCAATGGTCCTGTGGGCGTCCTCCAGCTCTGAGCTCAGCTGGGACACACGATTGAGAAGGTACTTCCTTTCATTGCTTCTACTCTCCGACTGTGCACGTCATATACACAAATAGAGAGAGAGAGAGAGAGAGAGAGAGAGAGAGAGAGAGAGAGAGAGAACACATTCAGATGGGAGCAGCCGGTTCGGTTGACAAAGCAGTGTTTCAAAAAGCAAGAAAAGGGTCCCTTGTGTTATTCTTGCCTTGCAGGTTTTCTCACCGCAATGTGTAAATGCTCCCCCAGCAGCTCACTAGCCTGCCTGGTTCCAGCGTGTGTCTCCAGTAGGCTGCAAGTCAGAAATAATCAAGACACAGGCTTTATTTTACACTCCCATACCCCATCGTACATTTTGCACACAAGCACAGATGTTGGGTCAGTCACAAATTCACAATACCCCAAGTGTGTCAAAGAAGAATGTTGAAAATACTAAAGAGCATTTGCTCAGTGTGAGCTGGCAGCCTTTTGCTCCAGGCTGTTGGTCAAGCATGTGCTGCGTTGGCAGGTGCAGTTGTTTGGTGATAAATACTGGACCAGGCCTGTCTGGCCAGGGGTCACCAGTAAGACACTCACTCATCAGTACCAAGTGATTTCACAGATGCATGGAGTTAGCCAAGGGCAGCGCCGATGGTAGAGGTACTCGCGCTCTGTCGACTTGGACTTAAGTAGAAATACAGATACTTGTGTAAAAACAAATAAACAAAGTATTGATTCAACTCCTGTGCATACATAGAAGTAACACATTATAGATGTTGATATTTACTGGCAAAAAAAATAAAAAAATATATACCTGAAAAATCTACTGAAAGTACAGAAACAAAGTATTTGGATGTCGTTACTTCCGACCACTGGCCAAGGGAAAAGGGATCCAAACATTAACCAAAAAGCACTTGGGCAAATGTACTACAACCTTTTGTGCAATTATTCTGCTTGTTCCATGGATCAATACATCTATAGCAACTGTTATGTCTATCCACAGAATGACACGTGGTTGATTGATCACCAGCCAGAGAGGCTCGTGTCCCCTGGAATCAATGTGTGAGCCCAAAGCACTGCTCTGCTATGGTGAGGCTCACGTTGCATCACATGTGACAGGGATTTAGCGGGACATAAGAGATTTGCACTCACCGGACACTTCACCAAGTACACCTACATAGTTTAATGACAATGATAATCATCCTCCATGTTAAAAGCGTTTCTTGGGTTGTTATTCCAAACCTTTTATATTTGTCTTTGACATTGCTGAGCTCATCCCGGGTCCTCTGCAGCTCCGATTCCAGGCTTTCAATGCAGACTACTGTCTGCAGCAAGTGCTGCTGAAGATCAGTATTCTCCTCCTGTAGCACCCTGAACACAAAAGGAAGATGGAGGGGTTTTTTTTTTGCAAATTAGATTTTGGGATGTAGCTTTCTGTTTGCCAGGAACAGTTATTTGAAAGAATGCAGGGGGGTGGGGTGCATTTCTAAAGAGGGACTGATTGCATGTCTGCCATTAGATGTCATTGTCAGCACTTTTATGAAGGCTCTTTATACGATGATGCAGATTTCCGACCACTATATTAGAGCCACCAGTATGTTACAACTTAAAAAGAGAATAGAAATACTTACTGAAGCTGCTCAGCGTCACACAGTCTGTCCTATAGAAATGTGACGATGAAGAAAATATTAAGTTATATGAGGCAACACAGATAGTGATTTGCTGTACTTCATTCAAATAGTTTCACCCTCTAAGCATTATTGGATATAGGACACTGATGAAATGGTCACCCCATGTTCGCAGCCATGGCTGATTCAAAGAAACTGAACAAATGAACAAAAGGGTAAAACGTGAAACATGAAAACCTTCCAGCTATCAATTTTGTTCTGGCATAACCTCATTTAGGCGACAATGGGAGCCTTGCACGTTTTGTGTTCAAGTCAATGTGAACCCAGAATGGGTCACTGCTTCATCACAAGGGACATGACAGATTTACCATCGATTGTGGCAGAGCTGCCGCTGGTATTTGAGTCTTTACAAGTCGATGAGTTCTTTTTTGATGGCCAGAATGTTTCGATAAACTAGGAAAGACAATCTCCCGATTATGTAACACCATACATGAATTGTTAAATTACAGTCAGCCTGCACAACTCAAACACAGCTGCTACCTTATAATTCTTTATGCACCTCAGTTACCAATTTCTAAAATCTACTGGTTGGAATGATAGTCATTTGTAGCTGGGTACTCCTTTTGCTTAAATTGTGAATGAATACATCTGTTTAAGCATTTCCCTTCAATGCACTGCGCTTTGCTGCATTGCTGTGGTATGACTCAGTGCATGTGGTATTTGACACCTCCCTCGGAATGACTCAGCTCCACTCCCTCTATACAGGAGACTAGCAACTCCATTTGTAGTGCGTATGACACTCCCTGGTTTCCTACGAGGCCCAATGAACTTAAAAGCTTTCCATTTTAAAATGAGTCTTTGTAATCATTTAGTAGGCTTGCGATTTTTTTTCCGGAGAAGTATGACTCATGAGACATCCAGAATGCAGGAGAATGTCATCATTGTTTAAACCAGTGGTTCTTAACCTGGGTTCGATCGAACCCCAGGGGTTCGGTGAATCAGTCTGAGGGTTTCGACGGAGCCCCTGCCATGGATGGAGGTTAAGACACAGCCGACTCAACATGTCAATTAGTTATGACACGCCCACTTGGCCATCACTGGCTGCAGATGATCACCTTGCATTGCTTGTCCAATCAGTGCTGTGGGAAATTTTGTTCGCTTCATAGTCAACGTGTGATTGTTGTGATAGTACGTTGTGTGATTAAAAAAATAATAAAAAATTAATACATGCTATGTCAAGCAAAAAGAAGAAAGTGGTCGGACGAATATGTACAACATGGATTCACATGCATCACAGAAAGTGATGGGACTCAGTGTCCTATTTGCATGATTTGTCATGCCAAGTTGAGCAACACTAGTCTCGCACCGGCAAAACTGAAGGAGCACTTCTTAAATCATATTTTTATTTTTCACTTGGGGTTCAGTGAATGTGCAGATGAACTGGTTGGGTTCGGTACCTCCAACAAGTTTAAGAACCACTGGTTTAAACTACGGTTGAGGCTTGCAACATGCAAATAATTTATATTGGAAAGAAATGCTTCAGTGAAATGCCAGGAATGTGTTCATTTATCTTATGGCTGCCCCTTTTTTTAAATCAGGAAACATGAAATCCTGATGTAATTTCCATATAAACAAACAAACAGATTATGTGCAATAGATTACCTGGCAAAAATGAACTTTAATTTTCTGACTTGAATTAAACTTTGAAATCTAACTGTGAAGGTAATCGTCCCATTCAGGCCATGAGACTGCAAACTCATGTTACTTTACAAAAGAATTGAAATGAACTCACTCTGCATTGTTTGGCGCTCCCCACGTGTTCGGAATGGTATTGCCCGCTCTGCTCTGAGCCATGACTTGTAGTGGTGGAGGATGTATCTCGGGCCCTGGTTGAGTCTGATTTACTCGATGAAGACTCTGATCCGAGACCCATTCTTGCACCGTGATCTGAGGATGGTGGTGAGGTGTTTGGCCTTCGTTGGCTTGCACTGCTGTGCATGTGCTGAGGCTGTGGCTGAGGCAAGTTCTGAGTGTGTGTACTATAAAAGGCATGGATTTGCTGCTTGTAGTGGTGCCGCAGTTTGGGCTGGCTCAGCTCAGGGCTGGTGCTGGTTCCGTCGGTTAGTTGAGAACCACATCTGCCATACCTGTCCTCTGTCAGGGAACCCCCAATGGGTGACAGTCTCTTGTCTTTATGGCTTTTTCCATGGTGAGCATTTCGACTGGAGGAGTATGCATAGTGATGAGGCGGCGGGCTACCCTGATGGTTTCTAGCCGCGTATGAAATCAATTTGTCCGGCTTGGAGCCGGAGTCTTTTCGTGAGACGCTACGAGCACTTTTGTCCTGCCTGCCATGTTGGTTTGGATAGTGTTCCTTCTCCTCGCCAGAAATTTTCCTGTGCTTCTTAGGTGGGAGTTCAGGTTTGACGGGGTCAAGTGTTTGAACTGGTGCACTGGTCTTGTTGGTAACTTTGCTATTGTTCACCCCGAGTATAGTGAGGTATGACGGGCTTATTACCTGTTTTGTTATCTCATCCAGGAAAGCTGAGAATTGCAACTTTCCCTGCACGAAATTTGTCCTCGCTTGCTCCATCTCGGCTTGCGCAGTCCCTTTCTCCTTCTGGCCACTGGGACTGGGATCTTGTTGTTTGGGAACTCTTGGGGATATCACCTCCATCGATTTGGCTTTGCGTATGTCGGTGTGAGGCGTCTTGTTCTTTAGGATTCCTTTGCCAGGAAGCTGGCTGGATGACACTGCTCTCTTTGGGCCCCTAGAATCTCTCACCAGAAGATCTTCATCACTGAAAGTGAGACTTCGATTCAAGCTAGAGGTCTTGCGCAGCGCCCCGCTATATGGTGCCTTGTATTGCTTTCTGCCTTCATGGCCTTCATTCCCTTTCTGGAGGCCCTCCTCACTTCTGCTCTGATTTCGGTCAAGAGACGAAAAAACAGCCGTCCCTCTCTGTTGTGTGCTGCTGTGCACGGGACCACCGACACCATTCCCATTGCCGCCATGCGTAACGGTGGCAAAGACAATAGGCTCACTTCTGTCATCTTCTTGAAAAGCCCTGCGTACATCTGCAATGTTGGAGCAGGACAAGGAATGCTGTGGACGCTCAATGTGGCGGAGAGAGAAAGGATCGCTTGCACTTGCCTCCGTGAACCAGGATGACGAGGAGACAGAGGAGGAGGATGAGGAGAGGGTGGAGGAGGAAGCTCTGGACAGACTTACAGGAGTGTTCTTGTTGTCAAGTATTTCATCCTCTTCAATGGGCCGAGTTTGATGTATTTGTTGGCGACGGTGGGTGTCGTCTTGATGGTTGGCATGGCGGTAGTGACCATGCCTAGGGTAGTGGTGCCTTTGGTTTTCCTCTGAATTTCTATCGGCATCATCAAACAGTGTCAACCTATGGCACAAACACATTGTGACCTGAGCCTCAACATACTTCGCCATCCATCTAATCATCCAATCATCCCTTTTCTATATCTCTTGTCCTCATTAGGGTTGCGGGTGAGCTGGTGCCTATCCCAGCTGACTTTGGACAAGAGGTGGGGCACACACCAAGGACTGGTAGTCAGTTGCAGCGCATATATACAAGTACAATTCATAAATCAAAACATTACATTACGTTCAATTCCAAAGTGAAACTCATGGACTTATTAAAGACAGAGAAAAATATTTTTCGAAAGGCCAATTCTTACCTAATTTCCAAAATTTTTTGATGGACCCTTGTTGCTGCCTACCCTATATGACTATCTCCTATATTACTCTCCAAACAATATCGATAAATATTAAGTCTTCAAAAGTATCCTACCTGTGCGACTCTGGGTCTTCACGATGGAGATGATTGTGGAGCTTCCGCAGCTTCATCTCTGCCGGTTCAGAGGCACTGTGAACAGGCCTAAAAAACTTCTCCATTACCTGTCTCTTCCCTGGTGGTAAGCTATTGATGTCGCCTTGGTTAAGTTGACTGTCCAGAGGGCACTGATGGTGATAAGTGTTTCCACTGCGCTGAAGCTCCAGTTTCTCACAAGTAACTGTCACCTCCTTTCGACAGCAACTTGTTTATAAGTGGCAAATCTTTTCTTCACACCAGATGGTATAGTCTTGAGCGTTCCAACACTAATGCTCTAGCTCTTTCGGTGTTTCAGTATAAAGGCCCAATTTGTTGGATTGCATGTCTACCTACTGTGGATAGGTTTGTTTCCATCATCTGGCTGCAGAGGAATGGTATAACAGCTTTTGAGCACACATCGTGGGATCCCTTCACACATGGTGGATTGATTTGACATCGTGCCTGATGTAACTGGAAGCTCATTGGATTGGCTAAAAGAGGGCACTCAATCAAAGAGGTGATCGAAGTTGGACTTTTGGAAAAATGATCGCAACCAGAGTTCAATAAGCAGATTGACGTAGCTTGTTTTTACCAGCATGTTTAGTATTATGGACGCCAAAGTTACATTTCTTTTCGGTCTTGAAATTATCGTTCAAAACTGCCCCAGTAATGTCAAGGTTCCATGCCGAACTACATAATCACACGGAGGAAGGAATGGCCTTGGGCTGTAACCCATGGCAGGACATATTTGGTAGTCCTCAGATGTAATTCATTCCAGAATTTGAGGACAATTCAGGCACCAACATTTTTTAATAATCAACCATTTATGATGTACCGTACATACAGTGTACAATGTTTTGAGGAAAAAGAGATAATAAACCATGATATAATTTGATTTGTCCAAACATCACTAGTATGCTTTTTGATAGATATTTTATTCATCCTATCATATATTTTGTTATTTGGCACAGCTGCTCAGGCACCTGAAAAACATGTAATGGCACTGTACTTCAAAAATATCCCAACTAAAATAATGCTGTTAAATAAAGATTTTTTTTTTTTTTTGCAAAATAATTATATGTGCCTGTAAATACAGTAACAGTGCTGCAAGTAACAGAGTGGCAAATCAATGCTCATGTTGCTCAAATGAGTTCTATCTTAAGAATATATGCTAGCTTTGTAAGATACTATGGCATCAGGTAAAAACTTAGCTATATAATTTTTAAAAAACGTATAAATCTATTTTTCTGATAATATCTGTTCATATCATATAGTATCAGTTTTGTGTGTATGTGACACATGCCATTACTGCGAAAAGCATTTTCAAATTTAAAGTAAAAAAAAAAAAGAGAGGACTTTGGTTTGTACATGGTCATAGCAATTAGTTCGATTACGTCATTTATACTGAGTCACGCAGTTGACATTTTTCGCTGCCTCTAAATATCTTAGACATAACCCAAACACCTCACCAGGGGTCCATGAGGCATCCAAACAGATGCCTGAGCCACTTCATTTGGCTCCTCTTGATGCAGAGGAGCAGCGACTGTACTCTGAGCCCCTCTCAAATGACCGAGATTGTCACCCTTGACCCCAACACCCACAAGTGCCCCCTGGTCCTGAAAGTTTTTGAGATGTTTTTACATGAACTGCCCATTTGAGCTCTCCCAAGAGTGGCTCTACGATACTGACGTCAGAAATTTTGGATGGCCACACCAGAACCTGCAATTTTTTTCCTGCTGTAGCCAATGACTTTGTGCTTTGCATCATTGTCATGTTGGAAAGTCCAAGTGTTCCCTATGCGCAGCTTCCATACACATAAATTCAAATTCTCCTCCAATAGTTTCTGATGCTGCGATCATCTCACCATCAATTTTGATATTCCCTGTGATGTTGTAGCCCACAGCCCCACCTTCATGTTTCACAGAAGGTAGGATGTACTTTTTGCCTTGTTGACTCCTCTCCAAAAATGGTGTTTAAGGTTGTCACCATAAAGTTGGATTTTGGTCTTGACACTCCAAGTGACTTTGCTCCAGAGCGTTCGAGGCTTGTCTAGGTGCCGTTTGAGATACTGGAAGCAGGCTGTGTGTCTAAAGATGCTTTTGAGTTTTTCCTTTATATCCCAAATAATCTTTATGACAGTTGTGGCTGAAATCTTTGTTGGTCAACCTGACCGTGGCTTTGTAACAGCAGAGCCACTCATTTTCCACTTATTGATCAAAATTTGAACACTACTATTTGACATTCTCTAGTGTTTCAATATCTTTTTACATCCTTTTCTGGATTTCTCAAGTTCATCAAGCCTTTTTCATTGTCATGTCTGTCTTGATTGTTTTCCAGCTCCGGCTGGAGTGAAGGGCGTTTCCCTCCAGCAGCTTCACCTGTGCCTCACTCCCCCATCAAGCTTGGCTGGGTATTTAAGGACTCCGACTTCCGGGCTTCATTGTGGGATTACTGACCTTGGTTTCTGTTTCGGTTCAAGTGTTAGTTTCAATTTCTAGACATCACGATACAATTAATAGTCAGTCTCTTTTGTTTGTCCATAGATGCTTGTTTAGTAAGTATTTTTGCTATTGCTCTTGTTTTCATTTTATTGGATTTTTGACATTTCATTTTGCATATTCTCTGTGTTCCATTGTACCTTGCCTTTGCAAGAGCTTTTGGTTTCATGCATTGTTTATTCCTGGCTCCTTGTGACCAGCGACTTCAGTTTATACTTTGTTGGTGCGATTTTTCTTTAATAAACATTTTTGTAAACGCACTTTGTCTGAGCTAGCATACATATTAGGAATTCTAAAACATTATTTGGTTCAGTGTGAACCTGACACTCACGGGGCCTTTGAGTTATTTTGCTTTCCCCATGACTCAGTACCCAGCAGTCAGTGGAGCCCTGGATGAAATTAAACTGACTAGTTATGTGTAGGCACTCATTACAAACAAATTACCTCTTACAACCATTGAAACGTGTGGGCATGTTATCAGGTTAAACATTTATGGGTATTTATTTTGATTTTGGCCATTTGGGTGGTTTCAGTGTCATTTACACACATGCATGTTTCTGTATGTTGTGCATGGATTATTTGAAATTTCATGACGGCAGAAAAGGACCCAGAATCTCAAATTATTTTGTAATTTAGCAATGAGGACAGTATGACCAAAATGGATTAATGTAATAATTGTACAATTGTGTTTTTAAGATTGCACTGCCAACTAGTTGTCTCCTTCATAAATACATTGCATTACATTAGCAAGTAACTCTGAGTAAGACCTTTGTTGTGCTCAGTTGTCACGTGAATGTGTGGATTGACTGCAACCTGTTTGACAGCCAACTCATCAATTCAGTTGTTGTGGTCAGACTGAAATTCAGGATGTTTAATCCTGGGCCGTAATGTAAATGAGAATTTTGCCTGACTACACTATCCCGAATTTGTCTGGGATGGTGTAGTCAGTCTTATAACACGTGTGGGTGTGTAAATTAGGGGGATGGGCTACTGAGAAAACGTGTGCACGACAGACGTGACTGGAGTCATGAAGTCACGCTGCTCCCCCTGTTGGTCAACAGAGGGAACTCCCTTGCCATGGTTTCCACATTGGATCATTTATTTTTGTGCTTCTCTATCAAGAGTCAAGACCGGTAAACACCACGCGTTCCAGATTTTCTGGACACAACCCCCTGTGTTTGCGTGTGTGGAAATGTATTACTTTAATACTTAAGATAAACTGTGAACGGGGTTAACGTACGAATACATATCAGAAGCTTTGTGACAAGACTTTATCAAAGAAAAGCTCATAAAGAGAATGAAATGAAGAAGTCAACGTAGATCGACGTATTAAGTACATATATTGGTTGGTTTAACATTTGTCACGGAGTTCACGGCGGTTTTTTTCTGGACACGAGCAGCTGAATATGGCACCGTTGCTCCCATCCCCTTCCCACTGCGCTGGTAATTTTCCACTCTGAAGTTCCAGTGCATTCTGATGTTTCTAGAAATATGTCGTTTATTCCAGTGTATAATCCAAATAAGAATAGGACATCAATCCCCATATTTGCCATAACAATACTTACAACTACTGTTGCGAATATATCCGGGGACTACAATTAAATGTGTATATAATACCGTGCGGCAAAAGTGCTTTTGAGGCCGTCGTGTTATACGTCGAAAAGCATACGATTTATCCAGCTTGTCTTTGTCACATTAACATTTTGTGAGCTGTTTTTTGTATATACTGTATATTTCAACAGCGAAGGCGTATCAGTCTGACTGCAGTAAACGAGAAGTAGATCCGGCCACATTCTAGTTTCATCCAGTTTTGGAGCCCAGAAACTTCAGTAATTAATCCGCGCGACCGTTGACCATGACGTCAGCTGTTTTGTTTCAAAATGTGTATGAAAGGCCTGGAACCACTAGCTTTACAAAATATATGGATAATACAAAATAACATTTAATTGTTGTATTGTAAACATTGACGTACCATTCGAAACACGCACGAGCCCCTTAATTTAACAACCCCACCCGTCGCACTTTATGCACATAACCTGCGTTTACAATTCTGTTTATGTACTGATGCATTTACCTGTTGATCCGACATC